TCCGGGGATGATTCCTGAGCCGGTTCCGGGGCCGCCTCCACCCAGCGAACCCCCCGGCGGTCCCGGGACACGGCGAGCCGGGCGTGAGCGGTGTCGGGGTCCAGGGTCACGAAAGCTGCGGGGACGGGGACAAAGCGGTGTTGGATGGGGACAGCGCCCTGCCATTGCCGGGAATGTCCCGCTCCAGCGGGAATCCGACCCTCGCGGGGACGTGGAGCTGTTCTCTGCTTGGAAAAACCTTTCCTCGGTACCCTCAGAGCACCCGAACTCATCAATTCCCAGCCGCTCCAGGCATCGTTCCAGCCAAAAATGACTTTTTTGGAGCCGTCCCCGGAGCCTCCTCACCTTTCCCGACCCCTCCCGGATTCTCTCCGCGCTCTTTCTCCAGCTCCAGTGGCAAAAGCTCTGTGGGATGAAGGACAAGGGTTGGACTCTCCCCTCTCCGGCTCACAATTCCGCTCGCTCTTGCCCCCGTGACTTTTTTCCTGAGAAAAGCAGCGGCAGGGGGGACAAAATCCCTCTCCCATCGCTCCTGGTACCTTGGAATCTGCCCAGGGTCTCTGCCAGGATTCGGATTTGTCGGGAAATGTCCTGGAGGCTCCGCTCCAGCTCCGGGGTGTCCCCCTGGGCGCCGCCCGTGTCCCACCTGGACACGAACCCGGGTGAATCCCGAGCTTTTCCTGCCGCGGGGACACGCGTGGGGTGAGGCTGTACCTGCCCACGGCTCCTCGGGAATCCTGCGGGAGGGAGGCACAGAGGAAACCTCAGCTTCCCACCCCAAAATTGCGGGGAGAGCCCAGCGCTGGAGCCGGTGAGGACCCGACCTGCAGGAATCTGCGCGGGGGCTGCCGCAGCTCCGTCTCCATCCCGCAGATCAGCACATCGAGCAGCGAAACCTTCCCSGACATCTCGGCCTCCTCCTCCTCCTCCCTCCTGACCCGCGCCCGCTCCAGCTCTCGCAGCCGCACCAGCAGCGCCAGCTCCTGCTCCTTCAGGCAGCGCCGCAGCCGCCGGAATTCCCGCAGAACCTTCTGCCTCTGCGCCTCCGTGCGGCTCTGGGGACAGAGGGACAGCGGAGGGACAGAGGGAATGGACAGAGGGACAGAGGGACAGTGGGAGGGACAGAGGGACAGAGGGACAGAGAGACAGCAGGAGGGACAGAGGGACAGAGGGACAGAGGGACAGAGGGGCAGTGGAGGGACAGAGGGACAGCGGAGGGACAGAGGGACAGAGAGAGGGACAGAGGGACAGAGGGAATGGACAGAGGGACAGTGGAGGGACAGAGGGAGGGACAGAGGGACAGAGAGAGGGACAGAGGGACAGAGGGAATGGACAGAGGGACAGCAGGAGGGACAGAGGGACAGAGGGACACGGGGGGAATGGACAGAGAGACAGTGGAGGGACAGAGGGACAGAGGGAATGGACAGAGGGACAGCGGGAGGGACAGCGGGAGGGACAGAGGGACAGAGGGACAGAGGGAATGGACAGAGGGACACGGAGGGAATGGACAGAGGGACAC